TCCCCAAGCTGTGCATGGTACTCACATAAGGGCATATGAAAGTTTCTGCAGGAAAATTGCTAACTCGGCAACCAGAAGAGCTGGAAGGATGAAATTTTAGGCCGATGTTCCCTGTCCATAGTGCAATTTATAAATTTTAAATTCAGCTTCCCAGGCACGTGGAGCACCCAAATATGGGTATGTGAGTGTTTGGACGGGAAAACTGCTAACTCGGTAACCAGAAAAGCTGGAAGGCAGAAATTTCGAGGGGATGTTCCCTGCCCAAGTACAACACAAATGTTTCATATTCAGTCTCAAGCTATGTGTGGTATTCACGTAAGGGCGTATGAAAGTTTTCGCAGGAAAATTACTGACTCGGCAACCAGAAGAACTGGAAGGCTGAAATTTTAGACGGTTGTTCCCTGTCCACATGCAGTTTGAAAATTTCGAATTCAGCTTTTCAAGCACGTGGAGTACCTAAGAACGGGTGTGTGAAGATTTTGGCAGGAAAGTTGATAACTCGGTATTCAGAAAGGCTGGAAAGCAGAAATTTTGAGGGAATGTTCCCTGTCCAAGTACAACTTAAGTATTTCAAATTCAGCGTTGAGGTATGCGTGGTTCTTAAGTACGAGCGCTTAGAAGTCTTGATTCAAAAATTTCTCACTGAACAACTAGGTTACTTTTGAAGAACGACTGTTAGATGGAAATTATACATTTACTTTGCAAAATTTATGGTGATTTATGCTAGTGACCGCAAAAGGTAGGTGTAAAGCAACAGCACATTCGTGCAGATAATGACCTGAGTAATTCAAGTCCGGTGCAAAAACGCACAACCATAATACGGGTCCGCCCGGTGCGTTCCAGCCTGGGTTTGCATTTGCGTATTTGCAAAAACGCATAAAAAGAAAGCCTGTTTGTGATTATCAGCAATCTCGATGCCAGAACGTCTGGTTCATTATCAGATTCTGCTCAATTTCTAGGAGGGGTACGGTTTGTTTTTGAGGTGACCCTGAGAAGAGATTTCATTGACAACTTCTGTGCCAGGAGACAAAAGTGCTTTTAGTATTTCCACTGGTGTATTCAGCTTAGAAAAACAGTGTGGGGAGGAAGAGGGGAGTGCATTTAGAATTCCTTGGACAAAACTGTGGCTTCTGTGGCTTCCGACGCGAAGGGAAGCGTCAGTATAGCTAAATTTTACTCCGCTTTGGCTAAATTTTGCCTCATTTGGTTGAGAGCTACACTTCGCAGCTCTAAGGACAAGTTTGTCGTCAATCGCACAGTAAAAAGGGACTCTTCACCATCTCATTTACTCTATTCTATCCTATGAACCTAAATAAGTCGAAGATGTGAGTCCACCTCACGTGGGGAGCGTAATTCGAACAAAAATATTTCAGAGAACCCGTTAAATTCAGAAAGCTGCATTGTGTGTGTGTGTTTCAGATAAAAGCCTGTTTTATCTTTAATATTGTTTGCAGGCATGCAAAATAAACACATACGGAAAGGGAAAATAAAAGTACATGTAAAGCTTGTGCAAGACAATAATACAGTTATCTGCCGTGTTTGTCATATCAGTAGGGTTTATTATTCATTTATTTTGTACCTTGTGGTTTGCACTGCTCGCCAGCAAAACTGCATTTTTTAGATGATTTAAGTAATAGTCATGCAACAGCTGCATACCTCTGCAAAACGTATAAAAAATATAAAAAGTTTCAGCAGGACCGGAATGCAGTCCTCTCAAAAATGCTGTCTTTTAACGTTACGCATTTTAATATTTTTATCAGCTGCCATTTCATCGCATTGCACCCTTCCTGCCACCAACGCCTTTAGCAATCTTTTATGAATGCTAATGACGCCACTGTCTGTTGCCTTCAATACTAGACGCAAAACAGCGAAACTTGGGTGATAAGCCTTCTCAATCACTGAGGGCATTTGTACCAGAGTTCTTTCGCCCATTCAATATTATTCGGCTTTTGCGCGTGATTACATGCATCACAGTTCCACCTGCCGCCTTTCTACTCCTTGCGTGCATGTCTGTGCTTATGTACAGATTCTTCCAAGCCCCATCAATAACTCCGTGCAATAGTTGTCCAGATCTACTACCTAGTAATCTTCTATTCATAACATCCCGGCAACACTTGGTCTTGCGCCTGGAGAATGAGAAAAACCAGCTGCTTCTCAAACGGTTCACAATCATTTACTCGTTTTTGCCAACACTTTGCTTAGCGTGACGGCCTGCGAACTTTAAAATATCGCCAGATGCTTCTTTATTACACTTCTCGATCAATTTACTTCTGCCCGGTTATTTCCGGTTGTTTGGGCGAGCAGATCAGTCTGTGAGCTCATATCATGACCAGTTTTCAAATAACGTAAAATAGGCTGGTAAGAACTATGTTTCAGACAAATGACGCCTCTCCCCTGCAATTTAGGAATACCCAGCAACGGGTCACGGATGTGGTTTGGGTTCGGGCTGCTCTGGCTTATGCCTCTGTGTTTTGCGCTCAGTACTGCGTTTCGTCGGTCCCGTTCTTCTTCACTAAAGTAATTTGGAACTCATTAGTTCAGTTTTTTGCCTGTTGTTATTTTTGTCACCGTTACTGCTAAAACAATTCAAATTCCGCACACTGTTGGGTCATAGACCGTTGCTGAGCAGTTGCTATTTGAGCGAATGGTCGATTGCCAATGTCTTCTTCAGTTCATCGTCAACGTTTTCGGCCAAACTGTGATCATCATACTGTCTTACACTGCATTTCTGATCGAAATTACGGTGTAGCCAATTACTGGATTTTCTGCCATACTTATTATGTATCTTTGCATCGCTGTTGAAATGCAACAATTTGCCTTTCAGAGTGTCGAGGAAAACGTATTCCTTGAAGAAAGAAGATAAATGATATAAAAATTTTGGCGAAAAATTGCCCACTTTCAATTCCAAACTGGAACGCATCAAATTTGTCAGTGCGATCATTTAGTTTTGCACCAAACTTGAAGCAGTTACGCCGTTAACTGTATGAATGGTTGTTGCATAACATTTATCATATGTATTCACTACCGTAAGTCATATATTTATCATAAGGGAAAACGAACAATTGCCGTTTAAGGGTCATTTTTATGTGCTTTACACATGTGCAAATGCAACCCAGCCTGGAACGCACCAGGCGAGCCGGTGCGATCATGCGTTTTTGCATCAAACTTTGAGGCACTCCATCA